TTAGTGGATATGGTTGAGCCGGGGCATGATGGGTGGGTGTCGTGCGAGGTCCCACTGCCAAAGAGAGGATTGGATTTCACGCCTGAATGTGGACATGATTGTCTGGAGAAGTACAGAAATCGAAGTTCATGTGCTTTTCTGCATCTCTGCATAAAACACGTCCAGATTCTGGACGTGCTGCTAGAGAGAGAGAGAGAGAGAGAGAGAGAGAGAGAGAGAGAGAGGGTATGGGATTACCCTTACAGCCCGAATCTGGACGAGTTTATGAACAGGTGCAGACGATTGATCTGCTTTTCTGAATCTGGACGAGTGTATGAAGAGGTGCAGACGACTGATCTGCTTGTCTGAATCTGGACGAGTTTATGAAGAGGTGCAGACGACTGATCTGCTTTTCTGAATCTGGACGAGTTTATGAAGAGGAGCAGACGACTGATCTGCTTTTCTGCACCTATGCACGGGCGCTTAATACAATCCTCTTTGCTAGATTATGAAGATCCCAAAAAAAAAAAAAAAAAAAAAAAGATTGACGGTGAGAAACGGAGGATCCGTCCGCTACTGTGAGGGAGAGAAATGACTGTACATGGTACCTTGCACCTGGTCGTCAGTGGGAATGACTGGCGGCAATCATGGACCTCGGAATTTGGCGCGCAGCATCTCTCTCTCTCTCTCTCTCTCTCTCTCTCTCTCTCTCTCTCTCTCTCTCTCTCTCTCTCTCTCTCTTCTTTCTCTCTCTTTCTCTCTCTCCTTTCTCCCTCTCTCTCCTTTCTTTCTCTCTCTCTCTCTCTCTCTCTCTCTCTCTCTCTCTCTTTCTCTCTCTCTCTCTCTGTCTCTCTCTCCTTTCTCTCTCTCACTCAGAGAGCGAGAGAGAAAGGTATCTCTCTCTCCTTTCTCACTCTCCTTTTCCTCTCTCGAGGGAGGGGGAGAGAGAGAGAGAGAGAGAGAGAGAGAGAGAGAGAGAGAGAGAGAGAGAGAGATTCTCGCTCCAGTCATTCAGATCCCGATGTTCTACGCGGTAGAGTGAATCGAGAAGGCGAGCGTTGAGACAGGGGGGGGGGGGGGGGGCGAGGAAACTGCACAAAAAAACTGCAAAAAAGAAACAGCATAAAAGAAACTGAAAAAAATGTTCAGAAAAGACCGCAGAAAAAGAACTGTAGGGGACAAAAAAAGCACAAAAACCAGCAAAAAAGAAAACTGGAAAAAAAAAGGTGCAAAAAAAAACTGCTGAACAGAACTGCTGGAAATACTGCAGAAAAAAAACTGCGAACCAAAACCCTGCCGTAAAAAAAAATTGCGAAAAAAAAACCCTGCAAGGAAAAAA